ACCTCCTGACATCTATTGCTATGCAGCTGCCACACCCTACGAGCCCAATGTGGGCAGGGTTAGTGGCAGCCCAAGGTGCCTAGCTTCTCCCTCTGAGCCCCGTGGGGGCAGGGAATGGAGCTAGGCCTGGGGACAGCTGGTCCCAGAAGACGAGAAGGTACTTGTATCTCCTCCCATGGCAGACATTGGTCTGAGACACTCCCTCAACAGGGAGCTAAGACCGGACCACCTCTTAGAAAAGGCCCGGGATAGGTGATTATACCAGTAAATCTACAAGAGAACAGAGAAGCTGCTCGAGACACTTAACTCAATGGCCAAGGTGCACTGTGTGCCAGCTTCTCTCAAGGCAGATATGTCATCAGGTTGGTGCCTCTATATTCACATACTGTGTTCTCGCATCACACACACTCAATCAGCATAAAAAAATTGTACCCCTGGTGTGATTTTAAGCAATTTTGAAATCCATGTGAATATAGCTAAAAACACTGAACTATAGTCCAGTAATTTTTTTTAGGCATGAAATCTTCTAACAAAAAATGGATGTGATGAAACTGTTTTTTGGATGAACTATTTTCCATAAACCTTAAAAAAATCCTGTATATATAGCTTTCATAGACAGGTTAGAAGATATCTGATAATATAAGTGAGCCGTAAAATATGCTTCAAACGTCAAAGAAATCTTAGTAAAATAGTATAGTATAAATGTATAGTGTACAATGATGAATATATATCACAAATATAGAATTAATGATAAAAATAGGACATTGTATAATAGCAAATTCACATTAAGTGAATCCAAATAACTTGAGGAAAACTGTATTACATATCCCTTACTGAAAACGTTTTACAATGCTTGAATCAAGTTCTATAAGAAATCAAGATTATGAATGTAGAGTTACTAAGGATTGGAAAACTAATCAAAACAGTGTTTTCCAAGCACGGTATATAAAACAATAAGAGAAAAGTGGTGTTCACCTAAAATAACTCTGGACAGCTTAATGACAAGAAGGAAAAGCACCACCATTTTTAACACTTTTCTTACTGGTCATCACTTAAGACACCGTGAGCCTAGTAATTAATTATTACAGTGGGCCCAAGGAAAATAAATTATGTAATTATCAGTTTTTTTTTCAAGGGTTCTTAAAGAGTGCAAGATGGAACCTTGTAAACCATTAACTAACCTTTAAAATACATCACAGGTGTAGTATCTGAGATGCAGAAAATAGCTAATTTAATTCTTATCAAAAAGTTCCTCTGTGTGTGTGTGTGTGTGTGTGTGTGCGCGTGTACTCACCTAGTTGAGGTTGCAGAGGTCGAGTCAAGTTGCCTGTGACCAGCCTGCTTCAGCCTGAATCACCATACACCTGTTACAGTATCCTGCTATGGTTATACAAGCTACAGCAGTGAGGCGAGGTTTTTTAGCGAGGTTTTGCATGTCTCGTGTGTCCATACACCCTAAGGCACCCGGCTCAGGCAGGTAGCTCCCATACCCTAAGATCCCACACACCTCCATCAACTCTCTCATGCATTGTTCAGCTATTAACCCTTTCACAGTCCAGACCCCCAAAATTAAAACTGCTCCTAGTGTCCAATTTAAATTAATTTAAAAATCTTATAAAATGGCAGAGAATCTTCTTTTGAAGGTAATGATACCAAAAGTATGAAATTTGGTGGAAAACTTATGGAATTACACAGACACAAAGTTAGCAGTTTGGGCACAATTTAAGCAACAATGATTTTGCCCACTTTGAGTCCTATTTTAAGCCAATTCCATTGTTCATTTCAACCAAATTCTTAACTATTTCCCTTTCATGTCTTCCATTCTATTGACTGAGGACAAGAAACCCTCCATTCAACTATCAGAACCACCCTATATAGTGCACAGAAGTCAGTAATTTGTGCAATTTTACGCAATTCAAAAAATTTCAATTTAAAAAGTGAAAAATAAACACTGCAGACATTCCAGGCACTAAAACAACATTTCCTCTGTTTATTAATCACACCTCCAGGCCTCTTCTATATTACACTTGCACTCCAGTTGGAATTCATTACAAAAAATTTAAGATTTACTCTTTTTTCAGACAAAATAAAACCATGGTCATAATTAACAGTAAACCAATTTCCATTTTCGCCAACTTTTTTTGTCAATATTTTGGTTCCATGTTTGTCGATTTCCTCCATTTTCGTCGATGGTATGGAACCTGTCCAGTGCCCAGCATGCACACAAAGCTGCCTCCCACATGCATTCTCAGGCAGTGTCTCGTTGTTTCTTAGTGAGTGAACATATCCTGTGAGGTCAAACGAAACATTTCTTAATAATCTGTTGTTTTTGGCCCTTTTTTTATTGTGTGTGACTGCTAAATAAGCCACCATGGCCCCCCAAAAAGCTCCTAGTACCAGTCCTTTGGTAAAGAAAGTGAGGAACACCATAGAAATAAAAAAAAAATCGTTCAAAAATACGATAGTGGCATACGCATTGCCAAACTCGGCAGGATGTACAGGAAGGCACCATCAACGATCAGCTCCATTGTGGCAAAGAGAAAAGAAATCATGGAAGCTGATGTTGCAAAAGGGGTGAATGCAATAACCAAACAGAGATCCCAAACAACTGAAGAAGTGGAGAAATTGTTGTTGGTGTGGATCAGAGAAAGAGCAGGAGATAGTGCTGTGCAGTCGATAATTTTTGAAAAGGCAAGGCAGTTGCATGATGATCTCATGAAGAAACTGCCTGAAACAAGTGCTGATGTTGGTGAATTTAAGGCCAGCAAAGGCTGGTTCGAAAAATTCAAGAAGCGAAGTGGCATACACAAGTGTTGAAAGGCGTGGTAAGGGTGCCAGTTCAGACAAACAAGCGGCTGAAAAATTTGTGTGGGAATTCAAAGGTTATGTAGAGTCTGAAAAATTCCAATCCCAACAAGTGTTCAATTGTGACAAAACAGGCCTCTTTTGGAAGAAAATGCCAAAGAGGACCTACATCACGCAGGAGGAAAAGGCACTCCCAGGACATAAGCCTATGAAAGACAGGCTAACTCTCTTGTTGTGTGGTAGTGCTAGAGGGGATTTCAAAGTGAAGCTTTTACTGGTGTATCACTCTGAAAATCCCAGAGTGTTCAAGAAAAACTGTTGTCAAGAGTAAATTGTGTGTGATGTGGAAGGCTAACAGTAGGGCATGGGTCACCAGGAAAATTTTCCTGGAATGGTTCAATGAAGTGTTTGGCCCAAGTGTGAAGAAATACCTCCTGGATAATAAATTGCCACTCCAGTGCCTCCTGTTAATGGACAATGCCCCTGCTCATCCTCCAGACTTGGAAGACCAATTGTCTAAGGAATTCAGTTGTGTAACAGTGACGTTTTTGCCTCCTAACACCACTCCTCTCATCCAGCCCATGGACCAGCAGATTAGTGCAAACTTCAAAAAACTCTACACCAAAGCAATGTTTCAAAGGTGCTTTGACATAACCTTGGACTCTGAGTTCTGGAAGAATCACTTCAATATCTTTCACTGCATAAGCCTTATAGATAAGGCTTGGCAGGGAGTGACTTCCAGGATGATGAACTCTGCTTGGGGAAAATTGTGGCCAGATTGTGCCCAAAAGAAGAATTTCGAGGGGTTTGAGGCTGACCCTGTCGACCCTATACCTGCTGTGCAATCAACTGTGGCACTGAGGAATTCCATAGGGTTGGATGCGAGTATCAAGGATGTGGAAGAGTTGGTAGAGGACCACAATCAAGAGTTGACCACTGATGAGCTGCAAGAGCTTCATCTGCAACAGCTACAGACCACAGCTCAGGAAATTGCTTCAGAGGAGGAGGAAGAGAGATGGAAGAAGGTGCCTTCTTCAAAGATTAAGGAGATTTGTGCAATGTGGACTAAGGTGCATTCATATGTAAAGGAACATCACCCTGAGAAAGCAGTTGCAATCTGTGCTGGTGACTTTTACAATGACAATGCCATGTGCCATTTTAGGCAAATCTTAAAGAGATGCCAGAAACAGACTTATCTGGACAGATATTTTGTGTGACAGGGGTCCAGTGACTCAAGCTGGTCCTAGTAGCATTAAAAAACAAAGGAGGGAAGTGACCCTGGATAAGGACTTGGTACCTCAAGTCCTTATGGAGGGGGATTCCCCTTCCAAACAATAACCTCTCTTCCCTCTCCCCTCCTTCCTGTCTTCCATCCATCAACAACAGCCTTCAATGAAAGGTAAGTGTCAGGTTGAATGTTCATTCTTTGTGCATGTAAATCTATCTTTAAATTAAAAAAAAAAAAATTTTCTTAATACTTCTGGGTGTCAGGAACAGATTAATTGGATTTACATTATTTCTTATGGGGAAAGCGGTTTCTGGATTAAACACAAAAAACCGAGGGTCCACTGTAACAGAATCAAGACTCAAAATCCATAACAGACCAGGGGAAGGGGAAGGGGGCTGTTACCTATCCTCAGAAAAAGTGGCAAAAATCGAGTATTTCCAGTCCTAAAACCAACTAAATTCCTCTATTTCAGCAGTATATCTTCCAGTCTATCAAATGATACCAGGAAACAACCAACAAAACCATTCAAAGTTGCTATTTTAAACCAAATGCAAGGGCAGAACTTAGCTTTTCCCATCATGCACCATGTGGGGGCAGGATTTTTTTTTTTTATACAGTGCATACTCACAGCACAGACCCATTCTCTTATATCTAGGCCAAAATTTACTACTCACAACTTACCTGCAAAAGTTGTAATGACACATTTGCAAACAAACCAAGGTATGAGTGAGGACTGTAGCCAGCTGGCCCAGTGGCTTACATGCTGGCATGGAATTTTACAACTCACTCGCAGCGAGTTCAATCCCCACCTGTACCGTGGTCAATCTGCGAGAGCCAAGCTCAAAATGTAGATCCACACGAGGGACCCTAGCATCAATAATGTAGATCTAAGGGACACTGAAATTGCTAACAATTTTGTGATGTTACAACACAGTCAACTATACTTGAAGACATAAAAAGTACTTGCCTCCATATTTGGCTTCCAACGACTTTCAAATACAGACATAGCTGCCAAGGATCCTGAGCCCATTGTGGTGTATGGAAGGCGATCAGTGGAGCCATGAGGATGGATTGAATAAATGTGAGAATCATGCTTGTCAACACCTCCCAGCACTAAAGCAGCACCTATATAACCCTGCAAAAAGATATTACATATTACAAATATATTAATTGGGGTACAACCACTGGTAATATTCTAAGGGCCTATAACTTCATGGAAAATTTTAGCCTCTCTGAGTCACTTCAAATGTGCAATTACCTTAGCCTTGACGAGTTTTGAGTAGTTGCGACTTGTATGTATTATTGCTATAAGTGTGTAGGGGGATGGGGCAGTTGTGCTGTGGTTGTCATATATGATACACATCATTCAACCTAGAAATTATGTAATTTACATGTTAACATGCACCCTATTAAACCCCAGGCTATTTTCAAAGTTGCTATAATAGCCGAGTTATCTCGTGATGTGCATCATGGCATAAGTGGAGAAGTGCGTGTTATTAGACAAACATTTTACCCAGGGGGCTAAGTCATCAGCGAAGCAGGGCTGTATCCTGTAGGTCAATGCTTACTAGGAAGGCCACGATCAGGCACTAATACACTACAAATTAGCCAAAAATATACAAATATGATAAATCTGGAAACCTGTAATATTCAGTAAACCTAAATATACTCTTAATAATCAAGGCAGAATATTAACAATAGATAAAACTGAAAATTTTAGAAAGTTTATTTAAGAAATAAATAGGAAATAATCATATCAGAATATATGCTTGATGCTGAAAAGATAAGTAACAGCCTCAATGTCAGAAAGAAGATGAAAAGCAAGAAAAATCTGCTGATGAAAAAATTGTGTGTAAATGGCAGATAGGAGCTCAGGAAATCAATTCAAGACTAATGTACTTTGTTTTTCTGGGATGTGTATTAGTGGAAACATGACAAGGCAATACGTCAGGAAGAGAGCTAGAGTCAAACTTCTGTGTTTTGCAGAAATATTCTACAACTAGTGTTGATGTGGGTGAAAGAGAAAGCTGGAAATCTGTGTAGGAAATATAGTGCAGATGTGTCCAATGATCTAGCAGAGGAATCTTGAAAATAACTTTCCAACATTTCAAATGTTTAACCCTTTGAGGGTCGACAGGCCCTCTCCGAAACTCGTTCTCAGGGTCAGCCAAATTTAAAAAAAAAAAAATAATTTTCTCTTATGAAAAGATAGAGAATCTTTTCCCGATCATAAGGACACCAAAAGTTTGAAATTTGATGGAAAACTTATGGAATTATGCTCTCGCGAAGTTAGCGGTCTCGGGGATATTTACGCATCGGCGATTTTGCCCACTTTGAGCCCCATTTTCGGCCAATTCCACTGTACTAGTCGACAAAAAACATGAATATTTTGCTAGAACTCCATTTTTTCTACCGAATGGGTGCAAAAAACCCAAACCCATTTATGAAATTCAACTATCCAGTACAGTGGTCAGAATTTAGCAATTTTGCCAATTTCATACAAATTTCAAAAGATGCCAATTTCCGAATAGGGTCCAGAATAAACAAGAAAGACATTCCTGACACTAAAATGACATTTCCTCTGGTCATTAGTCACGTCTCAAGGCCCCTCTTATATTCTTTTGCTTTCCACTTTGAATTTTTATTCTCACAAAAAATATAAGACTTACTGTTATGCAGACTACTCCATTAGTGTAAAAAATGGTATAAATATTATTGGCGCACTTGTGAAAGAATATTAGATTCACCAGTGATGTGTATTGGACCATTGGCACGATTTGTTTACTTTTGAAATTTGGTAAAAATCGAACATTTCTGCTACTTTGAGCTCAATTTCAAGGTATCTTTCATTGTAAAACCAGTCAAAATCATCTCAATTTCTGTAATATGTCTTCCATTCTATAAAATGAGACCAAGAAAACTAGAATACAACAATAAATACCATATGAAAATACAGTGCAAAGTCGCTGTTTTATTCCAAAAAAACAGTCAAAGTTTTTTTTTTCTCATTATGCACTGTGTGCTGCAGAATTTTTTTTAGACTGTGCACACTGACCACATAGACCCATTCTTTCATATGAAGGCCTACCAGCTTTCTCCCACTAGATTTGAGGGCGCTAGAATTTAGGCGTACTAGTATGTCAAAAACCCTGGGTCGTAAGCCGTACTAGTACGTCCAAAACCCTCAAAGGGTTAATAAATGTATGGAAGAGGGTAAGGTACCTAGGGATTAGCAGAGAGCATACATAGTTCCTTTGTATAAAGGCAAAGGGGACAAAAGAGAGTGCAAAAATTATAGGGGGATAAGTCTGTTGAGTATACCTGGTAAAGTGTATGGTAGAGTTATTATTGAAAGAATTAAAAGTAAGACTGAGAATAGGATAGCAGATGAACAAGGAGGCATTAGGAAAGGTAGGGGGTGTGTGGACCAGGTGTTTACAGTGAAACATATAAGTGAACAGTATTTAGATAAGGCTAAAGAGGTCTTTGTGGCATTTATGGATTTGGAAAAGGCGTATGACAGGGTGGATAGGGGGGCAATGTGGCAGATGTTGCAGGTGTATGGTGTAGGAGGTAGGTTACTGAAAGCAGTGAAGAGTTTTTACGAGGATAGTGAGGCTCAAGTTAGAGTACATAGGAAAGAGGGAAATTATTTCCCAGTAAAAGTAGGCCTTAGACAGGGATGTGTGATGTCACCGTGGTTGTTTAATATATTTATAGATGGGGTTGTAAGAGAAGTAAATGCGAGGGTCTTGACAAGAGACGTGGAGTTAAAAGATAAGGAATCACACAAAGTGGGAGTTGTCACAGTTGCTCTTTGCTGATGACACTGTGCTCTTGGGAGATTCTGAAGAGAAGTTGCAGAGATTGGTGGATGAATTTGGTAGGGTGTGCAAAAGAAGAAAATTAAAAGTGAATACAGGAAAGAGTAAGGTTATGAGGATAACAAAAAGATTAGGTGATGAAAGATTGGATATCAGATTGGAGGGAGAGAGTATGGAGGAGGTGAATGTATTCAGATATTTGGGAGTGGACATGTCAGCGGATGGGTCTATGAAGGATGAGGTGAATCATAGAATTGATGAGGGGAAAAGGGTGAGTGGTGCACTTAGGAGTCTGTGGAGACAAAGAACTTTGTCCTTGGAGGCAAAGAGGGGAATGTATGAGAGTATAGTTTTACCAACACTCTTATATGGGTGTGAAGCATGGGTGATGAATGTTGCAGCGAGGAGAAGGCTGGAGGCAGTGGAGATGTCACGTCTGAGGGCAATGTGGTGTGAATATAATGCAGAGAATTCGTAGTTTGGAAGTTAGGAGGAGGTGCGGGATTACCAAAACTGTTGTCCAGAGGGCTGAGGAAGGGTTGTTGAGGTAGTTCGGACATGTAGAGAGAATGGAGAGAAACAGAATGACTTCAAGAGTGTATCAGTCTGTAGTAGAAGGAAGGCGAGGTAGGGGTCGGCCTAGGAAAGGTTGGAGGGAGGGGGTAAAGTAGGTTTTGTGTGCGAGGGGCTTGGACTTCCAGCAGGCGTGCGTGAGCGTGTTTGATAGGAGTGAATGGAGACGAATGGTTTTTAATACTTGACGTGCTGTTGGAGTGTGAGCAAAGTAACATTTATGAAGGGGTTCAGGGAAACCGGCAGGCCGGACTTGAGTCCTGGAGATGGGAAGTACAGTGCCTGCACTCTGAAGGAGGGGTGTTAATGTTGCAGTTTAAAAACTGTAGTGTAAAGCACCCTTCTGGCAAGACAGTGATGGAGTGAATGATGGCGAAAGTTTTTCTTTTTCGGGCCACCCTGCCTTGGTGGGAATCGGCCAGTGTGATAACAAATAAATAAAAAATTCTGGCGGCTTCAAATCAAGCAGGAGAAAGCTGGAAGGCCCACATGTGAGAGAATGGGTCTGTGTGGTCAGTGTGCACCATGTAAAAAAAATCCTGGAGCACGCAGTGCATAATGAGAAAAAAAAACTCCGACCGTTTTTTTTTAATTAAAATGCCAACTTTGTGGTCTATTTTCGAATAGTATTTATGGTTGTATTCTCATTTTCTTGGTCTCATTTGATAGAATGGAAAACATATTATAGAAATAGAGGTGATTTTGATTGATTTTACTATAAAAAGAACCTAGAAATGGAGCTCAAATTAGGGGAAATGTTTGATTTTTGCCAATGTTCAAAAGTAAACAAATGATGCCATTGTCCAATAAATGTCCAACTAGCCATTCTAATATGCAGTCATGAATGGGTTGATGTTATTTATACAATTATTACAGTATTGCAGTAGTCTGCATAATAGCAAGTCTTCTATTTTTTGTTTGAATAAAAATTCAAAATAGAAAGCAAGAGTAATACCAGAGGGGCCTGGAGACATGACTGATGAACAAAGAAAATGTTATTTTAGAGCCAGGAATGTCTGCATTGTTCATTCTGGACCTTATTTTGAAATTGTCATATTTATTAATTTCCATGAAATTGGCCAAATTGCAAATTTCTGACCACATTATTAGATAGTTGAAATTGGTAAATGGGCAGTTTCTTGTACTCAGTCGATAGAAAAAAATGGAGTTCTAAAGAAATAGCTATGAATTTGGGCGACTGGAACATTGGAATTAGCCGAAAATAGGGCTCAAAGTGGGCGAAATCGCCGATTTGTAAACAGCGCCGAGGTCGCTAACTTCACGAGAGCATAATTACGTCAGTTTTCCATCAAATTTCGTTTTTTTGGTGTCATTACAATCGGGAAAAGATTCTCTATCATTTCATAAGAAAAAATAATTTTTTTTTTTTTAAATTTTGCGACACCAGGAGACACCTCAGGATTGGGGGTTGCGACAGTCAAAGGGTTAACAAGTCGGCCGTCTCCCACCGAGGCAGGGTGACCCAAAAAGAAAGAAAATCCCCAAAAAGAAAATACAGTGGACCCTCGACTAATGATGGCATCAACTAACGTTAAATCCGGCTAACGATACTTTTAACGTTAACATTTTGCCTTGGCTAACGCTAAAAAACTCTACTAAAGATATTCGTTCTCGGGTACCAATTAATATCTTTAGTCGAGGGTCCACTGTACTTTCATCATCATTCAACTCTTTCACCTCACTCACACATAATCACTGTTTTTGCAGAGGTGCTCAGAACACAACAGCTTAGAAGCATATACATATAAAGATACACAACATATCCCTCCAAACTGTCAATATCCCGAACCCCTCCTTTAGAGTGCAGGCATTGTACTTCTCATTTCCAGGACTCAAGTCTGGCTATATAAAAATAACCGGTTTCCCTGAATCCCTTCACTAAATATTACCCTGCTCATACTAACAGATCGTCAGGTCCCAAATACCATTTGTCTCCATTCATTCCTATCGAACACGCTCACACACACCTGCTGGAAGTCCAAGCCCCTCGCCCACAAAACCTCCCTTACCCCTTTCTTCCAATCTTTTCGAGGATGACCCCTACCCCGCCTTCCTTCCCCTACAGATTTAAATGCTCTTCATGTCATTCTACTTTGATCCATTCTCTCTAAATGATCAAACCACCTCAACAACCCCTCTTCAGCCCTCTGACTAATACTTTTATTAACTCCACACCTTCTCCTAATTTCCACACACCGAATTTTCTACATAATATTTACACCACACATTGCCCTTAGACAGGACATCTCCACTGCCTCCAACCGCCTCCTCGCTGCATTCACAACCCAAGCTTCACACCCATATAAGAGTGTTGGTACTACTATACTTTCATACATTCCCTTCTTTGCCTCCATAGATAATGTTTTTTGTCTCCACATATACCTCAATGCACCACTCACCTTTTTTCCCCTCATTAAATTCTATGATTAACCTCATCCTTCATAAATCCATCCGCCAACACGTCAACTCCCAAGTATCTGAAACATTCACTTCTTCCATACTTCTCCTTCTCAATATGATATCCAATTTCTCTTTATCTAAATCATTTGATACCCTCATCACCTTACTCTTTTCTATGTTCACTTTCAACTTTCTACCTTTACACACACTCCCTAACTCGGTCACTAACCTTTGCAATTTTTCTTTAGAATCTCCCATAAGCACAGTATCATCAGCAAAAAGCAACTGTGTCAATTCCCATTTTGTATTTGATTCCCCATAATTTAATCCCACCCCTCTCCCGAACACCCTAGCATTTACTTCTTTTACAACCCCATCTATAAATATATTAAAGAACCATGGTGACATTACACATCCCTGTGTAAGACCTACTTTTACTGGGAAGTAGTCTCCCTCTCTTCTACACACCCTAACCTGAGCCTCACTATCCTCATAAAAACTCTAAACAGCATTTAGTAACTTACCACCTATTCCATATACTTGCAACATCTGCCACATTGCTCCCCTATCTACTATCATATGCCTTTTCTAAACCCATAAATGCAATAAAAACTTCCGTACCTTTATCTAAATACTGTTCACATATATGCTTCAATGTAAACACCTGATCTACACATCCCCTACCCACTCTAAAACCTCCTTGCTCATCCGCAATCCTACATTCTGTCTTACCTCTAATTCTTTCAATTATAACCCTACCTTACACTTTATACATGTACATACTAGGAAAGAGGGTATTGCACCAGGTGAAGGCTGTGAAAACTTTGGGTAGTTTTAAAACAGGCTAGACAACTCTGAATGAGAAAAGTTGCATTTGAAAAGAATCTGCTGGCCTAAGCAGTGTGCCTCCATTCTTATGTTCTTATGTAGTTGGTGCATTTAAGAGAGGAAGGTCCAGTAGGCTAACTGCAATGCTCAGCTACCTGGAATGTTGATTTGAGAGTAGAGATGAACAAGTGTGCTAGACTGAAATTTTTTCTTATTCTTAGTATGATGTGGGCAAGGGGCAAGGCTAAAACTGGCAGCCTTAGAGCTGCTTCTGAACACTTAATGCTGGTATGCTCTTAACAGTGTCTGCAGTCAAAACTGGAGCTGCTTCTAAACACTTCCTGCTGGTATGGCTCTCTTCAGCCCATTCCCAGTCCACAAGATGACTGCGTGTTCCTATGCACCAAACAAACGTTTTCATTATTCATATGGCTGGAATACTTGTGTTCATTAACATGAGTTTTGAGGTCTCCCCCCAGTTTCTTGTCAGGTGGACACAATGTAAACATAAAATAGAGGACCACTGCAGCAGGTCTATTGGCCCAAGATGGGTAGGTCATTTGTAGTAGTTTGAAGAACATACATTACGAAGATGTTCAGTCTTAGCCTTGATTACTAGTACCACTCAATTTACGACCTACTCAACATACGACCGCGTGTCTGGCAGCAGGGCTGGGTGGGCCGATTGGAGAATATGGACCCTAACATTGAACGATTTGTCAAGATTGAAAGAATGGTACAGGACGCAATACATCCATACAGAGAAATTTACGAAGAACAGAAAAAAAGGAAAATTCAAACAAATCTCAGTATGTTTATCAAGAAGAGTGCTTCCCCACCTCCTCCCACCCCTACCCCTTCAGAGGAAGAAAGCATAGACGATCCCCAACCAAGAGCTAGAGGGCTGTAAATGTGTCCAAATCTTTATTTTTATTTCATGTATATTTCATTAAAACTTCCACGAGTTTCCTTTATTTCTATTTTTTTAATTTATGTAATTTTTATTTACACTGTTTACAGCTTAGCTTAAGTTATTTTGTACTTTTCTGTTCATGCATACGAATGTTTTCAGTTTTTTACATTTGAAGTGAATTCAAACACATTGTTTTGTATGCAAATGTTCTCGGAAATAAACAACTGTTTGTGTTGTACACAGTGTTTCTCCTAAACCTTACAGCATAAAACACAGTACTAAAAGCATAAAAAGTAAAAAATGAAATATAAAAATAGAACAATAAAATAAAATCATTACAATAACTGATGTTGATATACAGTAGTAAAATAATTAGTAAAAAGTAACATACAATACTATGCAGGTACGTACTTTATATAGCAAAGGTTTGACATTATGCCCTACCCAGTATGTCGGCAATTTTCTAAGGTTCGACTTGCGTCCATTTTGACTTAGGATTGGTTGGTCGAAACCAAGCTCAGTCGCAAGTCGGATGGTACTAGTATTATTAATAATAAAATATGTAACACTCTACGAAAGGTGTCGGGTCCCCTAGCTGAGATCCACAATAAACAGTAATACATACTGTACAAGACATGTGCACCACTGTACTGAAAAGTAGTACATATCTGGTGCAGCAATGGCCAGTAGGTTACCTGTAATGCTTCCCTGTGAGGCTTAGGTTAGGTTGGGTTCCTTAGGTTACATTGGTGTCAGGTCAACCTTATTTTATGTAACCAAACATAAAATGATTTAATGTAAAATAAAGAAAACAGCATCTGAGGAAAATAGGAAGGGTTAAAAAACTGATGTTGAACACCATATCAAAAAACTGATGTAGTAAAATAAAAATGGGTTGGACTGCCACAGTGCTTTACATACAAACATGTTGCACAACAATGTGCTGGTGTATAAAGTATATCAATGTATGATATCTCTATGGGCAACCAGTACTATCTGGTCCACTAATTTACAAAATAAGCTAAGAGAAATGGATAAATTAGATAAATTCCAAATCCCCAGCTCACTTGGTATCGAAATAGCATCTGTTTGAGCATGCGGTTAGCTGCAACAACAGGTACTTGGCGACCAGTGTTGAGGCGATGAAGCTCCAACTGACTGGCCATTAGCTGGGTGGTCATCTCCAAGTCTGCAGCAGTGCCTGCAAATGCAATAAGAGTATTAACACAAGTGTGATTGACAATCTGTTGTAGCAAATAGTAATTGTGTGTTATTGAAATGAATGTTACACAGTTCTATCAACATTGTTACAATTAAAATATTCTGAAATTTCACTTCTAGAAAAGCAGTGTTACAAAAAATGCAATTTCTAATAAGCTTACAGATCTCCAGTGAATACTAGAAAGGACTGCCCTTCTAGCATCCAGCCTGTTACTGGGTTTTCGTAACAAGTAGTCAGTATCCTTGTCCAATTATCCATTAGAATTCAATAAGAATTATTAGTGCTTCAAGATTGCAACTGGTAGGTTACTAACTAAAGAAATTAAAATTTAATAAATTTATTAACAATCAAGATGTCTAGGAGTATATTATCAAATTAAAATAAATTAATCAATTTAAACAAATTACATGTAATAATAATCACTTCTCTCGTGTACAGTAGTATTGTGCTGAAGGCACATATCACATCTTTATATCTTAAGTACCGTCTGGTACCTTAACCTTTAATAATACAATATACAAATAAGTTTGTGTGTATGTGAGTAAGTGTTCTAAGTAGTTCGCTATGTCTCACGACTCGGCTAGACTTAAACAAGTGACTGACAAAGTCCTCACATCGACTAACTTCTTGACCACCTGGCAATCAGAACAATTGCTTGAACAATAAAACGACTGTTAAGCCCAATAGCAATATAACAAGCAACTGCGACACAGAATCAGGAACAAGGAGATAATATAACGACATTAAGTAGGGACCATCTGCGGATCCTCCACAAAAGTCACCAAACTCCCATACTACTGAATCTAAGTTCAGCATAAGAAAATTCCCAACTGTGACAGTACACAGATACCAGTACAAATTAGGTCAGAAGCTACAGCTCAGGACCTGAGTTGCTCAGAGTGTCTATGCGACACATCCTCAGTACAACAGAATTCTACAGAACCAACAACAAGAAAGCAACAGACGATCTTCCAACAAGGGCCAATAAGGGAGAGTTAGGCACGTCTTGTCAGGAATACGTCCAACCACCAAGAGAGTCTAGCCCAGACTGACTACTCCAGGCGAGGTGTGAACACCCCCCCTCGATCACGTGATTGCTCCGTGGACAGTTGCTGCCCAGCAACACCTGAGAAGCCGGCAGGGAAACGAGCCACGAGCAATAATTACAGTAGTTAGACATTCAAGACGAACTATGAGCACATAATAATATATAAATGTTACATCCTACCTAATAAAAGTAACAAGCCAAATAATAATATAAACCAATATATTTACGATTTAGCTATTATCGCAAATATAAGCAATATAAAATTATATGAAAAGGTAATATACATTATATACATTGTGACCCATTCAGGGGTCGCAACAAGCAGCAACATACAATTTTGTATAATTAGTGTAGTAGGTTGGTAGACAGCAACCACCAAGGGAGGTACTACCGTCCTGCCAGGTGACTGTGAAACAGAAACCTGTAACTGTTTTATGTGATGGTAGGATTGCTGGTGTCTTTTTTTCTGTCTCATAAACCCTCTGGATAACAGGTACATCTTGCTACTTCTATTTACACTTAGGTCACACTACACAGGCATGTACAAGCATATATGTATATACTTAAACACATCAGGGAAACTGGTTATTTTCATATAGTCAGACTTGAGTCCTGGAAATGGGAAGTACAATGCCTGCACTTAAAAGGAGGGGTTTGGGATATTGGCAGTTTGGAGGGATATGTTGCGTATCTTTATACGTATATGCTTCTAAACTGTTGTATCTGAGCACCTCTGCAAAAACAGTGATAACTTGTGAGTGTGGTGAAAGTGCTGAATGATGATGAAAGTATTTTCTTTTTGGGGATTTTCTTTCTTTTTTTGGGGTCACCCTGCCTCGGTGGGAGACGGCCGACTTGTTGAGAGAGAAAAAAAAAAAAAAAAAAAAAAGTTTTTTTCTTCTTTTTCTTAATAGCTCGTTTTTTATTTCCTCTATTGCCCATGGGGAAGTGGAAAAGAATCTTTCCTCTGTAAGCCATGTGTGTGTCATACGAGGCGACTAAAATGCCAGGAGCAATGGGCTAGTAACCCTTTCTCCTGTATACATTTACTAAAAAGAGAAGAAAAACTTTATAAAACTGGGATGCCTGAATGTGCGTGGATGTAGTGCAGATGATAAGAAAGAGATGATTGCTAATGTTATGAATGAAAAGAATTTGGATGTTCTGGCCCTAAGTGAAACAAAGCTGAAGAGGGGTGCATGAGTTTCTGTGGGAAGAAATAAATGGGATTAAGTCAGGAGTATCAGAGAGTTAGAGCTAAGGAAGAGGTAGCAATAATGTTGAAGGATCAGTTATGGAAGGAGAAGAGGGAATATAAATGTGTAAATTCAAGGATCATGTGAATTAATATAAGGGTCGGATGCAAAAAGTGGGTCATAATAAGCATGTATGCACCTGGAGAAGAGAGAAGTGTAGAGAGAGATTTTGGGAGATGTTAAGCAATTATATAGGAACCTATGAACCAAGTGAGAGTAACTGTGATAGAGGACCTAAATGCTAAAGTATGAGAAACATTTAGAGAGGGTGTGGTAGGTAAGTTTGAGGTGCCAGGTGTAAATGATAATGAGAGCCCTTTGAACTTTGTATAGAAAGGGGTTTAGTTATAGGTAATGTGTATTTTAAGAAAAAGATGATAAAGAAGTATACAAGATATGATGTAGGGCGTAATGACAGTAGTTTATTGGACTACGTATTGGTAGATAAACTTTAATAGACTTCAGGATGTACGTGTTCACAGAGGGGCCACATATATCAGATCACTTTTTAGTTGTAGCTACAGTGAAAGTAAAAGGTAGATAAGATACAAGGAAAATAGAAGCAGCAAGTAAGAAAGGTGAAGGTTTATAAACTAAAAGAGGAGGCAGTTAGGGTAAGACATAAACAACTATTGGAGGATAGATGAGCTAATGAGAGTACAGGTAATGGGGTCAAAGATGTATGGGGTAGGTTTAAGAATGTAGAGTTAGTGTTCAGCAGAAGTTTATGGTTAGGGAGGGAAAAAGAGCGATTGGTGAAATAATGATGTAGAGAGTAGTAAGGGAATAAAAAGTTAGTATACGAGAGGTTTTTATAAAGTAGAAGTGATGCAAGGAGGGAAGAGTATATGGAAAGAAAATGAGAGGTTAAGCGAGTGGTGAAGAAATGTAAAAAGAGAGCAAATGAGAGAGTGGGCGAGATGTTACCAACAAATTTTGTTGAAAATAAGAAAGTTTTGGAGTGAGATTAATAAGTTGAGGAAGCCTAAGGAACAAATGGATTTGACAGTTAAAAATAGGAGAGGAGAGTCATTAAATGGAGAGTTAGAGGTATCGGGAAGGTGGAGGGAACACTGAGGAATTGTTAAATGTTGATGAAGATAGAGAAGCTGTGATTTCGTGTATAGAGCAAGGAGGAATAACATCTTGTAGGAGTGACGAAGAGCCAGTTGCGAGCGTGGGGAAGTTCGTGAGGCAGAGGGTAGAATGAAAGGGGGTAAGGCAGCTGGGATTGATGAGATAAAGATAGAAATGTTAAAAGCAGGTGGGGATATAGTTTCGAAGTGGTTGGTGCTATTTTTTAATAAATGTATGGAAGAGGGTAAGATACCTAGGGATTTGCAGAGAGCGAGCATAGTTCCTTTGTACAAAGGCAAAGGGGACAAAGAGTGCAAAAGTTATAGGGGAATAAGTCTGTTGAGTATACCTGGTAAAGTGTATGGTCGAGTCATTATTGAAAGAATTAAGAGTAAGACAGAGAGTAGGATAGCAGATGAACAAGGAGGCTGTAGGAACGGTAGGGGTTGTTCAATATATTTATACAGAGGGAGTTGTAAGAGAAATGAATGCGAGGGTCTTGGCAAGAGGTGTGGGGTTAAAAGATAAAGAATAACACAAAGTGGGAGTTGTCACAGTTGCTCTTTGATGATGACACTGTGCTTTAGGGAGATTCTTAAGAGAAGATGCAGAGGTTGGTGGATGAATTTGGTAGGGTATGTAAAATAAGAAAATTAAAAGTGAATATAGGAAAGAGTAAGGTGATGAGGATAACAAAAAGATTAGGTGATGAAAGATTGGATATCATATTGGAGGGAGAGAGTATGGAGGTGGTGAATGCATTCAGATATTTAGGAGTGGACATGTCAGCAGATGGGTCTATGAAGGATGAGGCGAATCATAGAACTGATGAGGGGAAAAGGGTGAGTGGTGCACTTAGGAGTCTGTGGAGACAAGGAATTTTGTCAGTGGAAGCAAAAAGGGGAATGTATGAGAGCATAGTTATACCAACACACTTATATGGGTGTGAAGCATGGGTGGTGAATGTTGCAACGAGGAGAAGGTTGGAGACAGAGGAGATGTCATGTCTGAGGGCACTGTGTGGTGTGAATATAATGCAGAGAATTCATAGTTTGAAAATTAGAAGGAAGTACGGGATTACCAAAACTATTATCCACACGGCTGAGGAGGGGTTGCTGAGGTGGTTCGGACATGTAGAGAGAATGGAACGAAACAGAATGACTTCGAGAGTGTATGAATCTGTAGTGGAGGGAAGACAGGGTATTGGTCGGCCGAGGAAAGGTTGGAGGGAGGGGGTAAAGGAGGTTTGGTGTGTGAGGGGCTTGGACTTCCAGCAAGCATGCGTGAGTGTATTTGATAGTAGTGAATGGAGACAAATAGCTGTGAATACTTGACGTGCTATTGGAGTGTGAGCAAAGTAACATTTATGAAGGGATTCAGGGAAACCGGCAGGCTGGGCTTGAGTCCTGGAGATGGGAAATACAGTGTCTGTGCTCTAAAGGAGGGGTGTTACTGTTACAGTTTTATAACCAGTGTAAAGCACCCCTCTGGCAAGACAATGATGGAGTGAATGATGAAAGTTTTTCTTTTTTTGGGCCACCCTGCCTTGGTGGGAATCAGCCAATGTGTTCATAATAAAAATGAACATTGAACTATCA